TATCATTATTATTGTCATTATCCTCATCGTTATTATCGTCATCATCCCTGTTATTGTTCTCGTCATTGTCGCAATTTCTATATTTATAAATAACGACGTTCTTTTAATCATTATTATTATCATTACTATCATTATTACCATCATTGTTGTTGTTACCGCCATTCTTGTCGTCATCATTGTTGTATTTGCCATCGTCGTTGTTGTCGTCCTTATTATCATTATCATTTTTACAATTATGAACATTATATTTCATTTAATCCTTGTTATGATAATCATTATTATCATGATTATAATTATTATTATTATTATTATTATTAGTATTATTATAATAATAACCGTTTGATCGTACTTGTCATTATTACCATGACTATTATTATAAATATCATCGTTATCATCATTATNTTATCATAATAACAATATTTTTTATTATCTTAATAATTATCACTATCATCATTATTATAACTATCATGATTGTTCCCACTGATTCAATTTTTTTTTACTTAATCTGTTATAAACATAAATTACTTCTATTGTAATCATTTTTATAATTTAATTTGGCATCATGTTCATGATAACGAAAATTGTTATGTTTATTGTTTTTCAAATTCTTTTGATTTTTAAACAATAATTAGTATTATTACTATTAACATACAAAACTTNTTTTATTAAAAATATAAAGATCTTTAACGGTATAAGAAATTTTCTGTTTATTTTAACCCACTTTGCCAAAAATAATCCATTCATGCATTAAAATATGTATTAATAACTCCACTCATATTGGGTATAGAAAAACGGAACCAATTGCCTATAAAAGTTGATCTTTATCAGCATAAACATTATTATTATCATCATTCTTATGCTTGTTATTATTACAGTTCTCATTATTAACATCGTTGTGGTCGTCGTCATCATTGTTTTTGTTCTTGTCTTTGTTGTAAACTTCCTAGTCATTATTAACGTGATTCTGATTATTATTTTGATTACCATCATTATTATTATTATTGTTATTATCATTGTCATCATCATCATTATTATCATAATCATTAACGTCATCATTATTATCATTGTCATCAACATTATTATTATTATCATCATCATTATCATCATCATCATCATCATTATTATCATTATCATCATCATTATTATCATCATTATTATTACTATCATTAACCTCATCATCATTATTATTATTATTAACATTATCATTATCATGATCATTATTAATTTTAATATTATTATCGTCATCGTCGTTGTCGTCGTTGCTGCCGTTGTTGTTGTCATTGCCGTCATTTTTTTCCTTACTGCCGTTGTCGTTCTCATTATGATTATAATTATTAACATTATTATCATGATTACCATTATCATTAATATTAGTTATATTATCACCAATATCATCATTATAATTATTATTATTATCTTATCTTCAACATGATTATCACTATCATCGCCATCATTATCATTATCTCTTTTATGATTTTAATTACTATCATTATGATTATTATTATCTTAAATATTACCATCATTATGAAGTTAATTCATATCATTATGATTATCGTCATTATAACCACTATCATTCTCATCTTCAGTAACACCATTACTATTATCATTGTCATCTTCGTCGTCGTAGTCATCAATATTGTAGTTAACCTCGTCATCGTTGTCTTTATCGTCGTCGTTGTTGTACGTCTTATAGTTATTTAATTATCATCATTTTTACTATTTTTATTTTTATTTCTATTAACATGATTATCCTCATTCTCAATGTAACTAATATTTTTGTAATTATGATAACCAGCATTGAGGAAATTTTCATCTTCGTCATTATCATCATTATAATTATCATAATTATTAACACTATCATTATTATCATTATTACCATCATCATTATCATCATCATCATCATCATCATCATCATCATCATCATCATTGTCATGATAACCATTATCATCATCATAAACATTATAATCATTATTATTATCATTATCATCATTGTTATCATTATTATTATTATTATCATCGTCATCATTAGCATCACTATTATTATTGTTATTATCATCATTATTTTTACCATAATCTTTTTCATAATCGTCATTGTCGTCGTCGACAAAGTCATTACTCTCGTCTTTGTAGCAATCTCCACAGACATTGTCAACGTTATCCTCATTATCATTATTATTTTCATAACAATTATCATNTAGTATTGTTGTTTTTTGCCTTACTATCGTCATAGTTATTAGTATCGTTATTTATTCTGTTTATAATTTTGTCAAAATGATCTTAATTATATAAATGGTCTGGTAATGATTAAAGTTATTATTATTATCATTACAGTATGATCAATTTAAATAGCTTTATTATAACTTCCATCCTTTTTTGTAGTTACTACTAGTTTTATGACTGCAATAATCTTTGTCATTATTATTATCATGATTATTATTATTAACACGTTTATTTTCATGATATTTGATATTCTTACTGTTATAATGGTCAATAATATCATAGCAGTTATTATTATTATTATTTACATTACCACAATTATCATGATTCTAATTATTTTCATTATTATCATGACATCATGTACATAAAAGTAAAGGTGAAAATAATAAATATGATAATGGTAAGTATAATAATACGAAGAAATATGACAGTAGAATTATCGATGGTCAAACAAACATTTTCTTTTATTTTTACCTTTACTATTATTATTTTTAGCATTATTATTGTTATAAGCGTTGATATAATTAAATTTGTTATTATTATATTTGTAACAATATCATCTTTACCATTATTATTATCGTCATTCTTATTAGTTTTTTTACTGTTGTTACTATTATTATTTATTATTTTGTCTGCGTTTCATTTGTTGTTATTATTATTTTTAATCTTACTATCATAATCATTATATTAATTATATTTATCATGATNATAATATTATAATATTTATTCTTATTATCATAATAATTGTAGTGGTCTTAATTTTTTTTATTGTCACCAGCATTAAAACTTTATTATTATTATTTATATAATCGTTTTTATTTTTTATGTCATTGATATTTTAATTTTAATCATTGTCAGTCATTATCTATTTCATTGTTCTTATCATGCTCCTTATTATTCTCAATATATGCATTGTTATTATCATTATTGTCAGCCTTGTATGACAAAGTCATTTTTCTCTATTTTCTCTGCGCTAAAATGCGTTCTAAAGTAGGAAATTTATAAAAAACTACTATAAGTCTTATTCATATCTGGGTTTTAAAAATCGGAAGGAAGACATAGCGCCAAAGGAAAGCCCAAGAATGCATAGTTCTAGTATATAAGGGTCTACCTGTTTAATTGCGCATTGTAGAATATTTGTAATTACCGAGCCATTGTACTAATCCAGCGTTGCTTTATTAACGAGGAGTATATGTATACATATGTTTCTGTATTCAGCGTACATACTATAAATTACGTCGCGTTCAATCGTGTGTGTGATCAATGTCCTGTCGGTAAGATTTCAAAGTATGCATGTAGATATAGTACGGTAGTGCGCGAGGCTGCACTAATTGGGGGGCCTAACGCGTCACTTCTATAGAAGCTTTTGTGCAAATCAGAGCTCTTGAGTTTTTCACGACTTTGATAGTTAAGAGAGAGAGAATCGAGGGAGAAGGAGAAAAGAACAAGGAGAGTCAGCGATCATGATCAGCCAGCCATACCCGACCTTGCGCCTGACGACCAAGAAACTATCACCACCCTCATTAGTTGTCAACTGCGAGGTCAAGGTCAATAGCTGATTCAGTCACTGAAGAAGAGAGTAAGATGGTAAGCCCCGAGGTAAAATAGCGTGTAGTGTTGTCGCGAGAAGTAGTGCGTGGGAGCGTGTGTGTATGTGTATCGGCCACGTGTAGCCAGGGTGAGCCATGGAAGCCAGCCCTGCGGATCGTGCCTCGCAGAGATGATTAGAGCTAGAGTGGGTAAGAGAGAAGCGTGATTGTCTAAATTCCTGCCGTGGCATAGTGCTAGTTTGTGACAAAATATTTTAGGCCTAGACGCCCACGTAATCGTAGTAACGAATAAAGTGAACTTAATAATCTGAGAAATCTGCCTTTCGTGTCGTTATTTGCAGGCCATTGTCAGGCAGCGTTTTCTTTCAAGTTGTGGAACTCGTTTCTCCCTAGAAAAGTAGCTTGCTTGCTAATGGGCAGGCCCCAGCGGAACTTCTTCTGAAAGAGAGTCTCCAGGGGCTGAGCTGAGTTTTGCTGTCGTTGAGTGGTGGTATTTCTCGCGTTTAAGGTGCAGTTGCCTTTCGCATAGTTTCCAGTGCAGCCATCAGTGATAATTTTAATGTCTTTGAGCGTGGCTTCGGGACCACCCTGATCAGGACACTTTATGTGTCGCAGGGCGAAAAAACGTAACGTTACAAAGTGGCACTTGACATGGGGCTATAAAGCCAGGGAACGAGAATCAGTTTAAAGTGCGCGAATAGTTGGCTTTCTGTTTATAAATTTTTCGAATCACCATGAGCTGAAAGTGAATGTATCGTGAGTATGATGGTCGTTTTTCGTGTTATTAGTGTTGTCTCGTATTTTATTTAGTATTCAAAAAGTAGTGTAGCTTTTGTAGTGCATGCAGTGTTGTTTCCTGTGTTGACACTACTTCGCCACATTGATCAGAATTTTTTTTGAAACTGCCAAAAACTTACTGGTTTTAAGGAGTGTTTGGGTAAGTTGGCACTGAGTTAAGCGTGAGTTGGGGGTGAGGGGAAGGAGACATATTGTCAAGGAGTGAGACACAGATGCGTTTAAGCCTAGGGAAAAATTAAGTGCGTGCGTTAGTTGGACGGGCTTTTTAGTAGCACCCAAAATAAGGATGAAAGAGTTAGTAGCTCTTTTCATTTGCGTTTTGTTTCTCTTGCACGGGCGACTTTCGTTTTCCAGGTATAAGTAGCGGCCATCTGATGGCCGTTTGCGTTTAATTGAGTACGTGATTTATTTACAGGAGGAGAACAAGGCCTAACCTGCCTCGTCTTATACATATATATATGCATATATATATTTTATCGACTGAATAAGCGTGGAATATCAAATAATTGTGGTAATGGCCGTGCGAAGCATGTGTAGGGGACAGAGCCCTACTAANCTTATATATACATATAATGTAAGGCATTTCACGTCAACTGTACTAGCGTGATCTGCGAGCACCAAAACATGTACTTTTCAACTCGCGATTACGGTATTATGAATTACTGAGAGAAAGTAACTATAACATAGGATCGACGTGCTTTTTTCTAAGCTTTTTGGTGATGCACTCGGTTTTTTGAAAAAATGATGATTTAAGCTAGAAAAAATACAAAATGTTATATATCTTAAAAAAAGCATTTTTTATATTTTTTTAATCATCGCCAAGTGAAAGAGCAGAATTTTTTACGTCGGTATGGCGATTTCGAAAAAAAACTTTTTTAATTTTAGCAAGATATTTAAAAACAAAGTTGGGCGCAATGACACAGCAGCAGCGGCTGCTTGACTCGCGCGATAGTATGCTATATATATATCGCCAAGCAACATGGTTGGGTTGCGCAGTTTTGATTCGACTTTTCAGACACAGCAAAATGAATAATTGAGTATATAATTATGTTATTTTAATGAGTTGCCATTAAAAAACGAATAAGCCAAAACCTAATCCAACAAAACAAAAGTATTAAAAATGTATTTATGAATCCAAAACTAAGAAAGAGATAAAATAAACTACTTACGTCATTTATAATTACATTGCAATCAATTATTTACACCGTTCGGTAACTCTGTAAGTATATTCCTTACATAATTTTTATAATAGTCACTTAGTTTTTTTCTTTGGTAATATACATTTTTCCGCCTTCTATCCTCAAAATAGCACCTTCGCCGCTTGATTTTGAGTTCTCAGGCGGAAAAATATTATACGAAACTCGTTCGAAAAGGCTTCTTTACGAACCTTGTTACGGCCCTCGCCTTCTCGTAAATCGAAGCCTTTGCAAACTCGTACGTAATGTACTATTTCCTTCTTCATACCCGTCGCTTTAAGATTTTCTTTCTTCGCTTTAGAAAAATTTTGGTATTTTGTGGCGAAAGATGTATTTTTAAGCATAAAATATTTGTTATTAATGGGAATAGTTGCGTGAAAATTCAATGTCCCTGGAATAGCTTTGCATTTTTTGAACCTACTTTTAAAAAATGATGAAGTTGCTTCATAATCAGATTTCACACTGAAAAAAATTTTATTTTCTCCGCAGTGACCTTTTGCTCAATCATATAAAGCTTTAGCAAAGGTAATGTGCTTTTTTAACTTCAATTACAAACTTGCTCTTCTCGCACCTCGTTTTAAGTTCGCTCCAATGCTATAACAAGCACCTTTGCCATGTGCAGTGGCAAATAAATGCCAATCAGCTGCTATACCGAAATTTGTTTTGTGGTATAAAATATTTTGGAAATTACTTTTGTTTTTAAAATGTTGGCCAGCTCCATCGGTAAGGCAGAAAATTTTTTGAGGATTAAAGCTCTTTTTTAAATAATTGACAAAAATTTTTTAATACTCACACATGCTATGGTATCATGTGCTAAATTATCGGAAATAATGGCAATACTTTAATGTTTTACTTCATCTCCTTCTGTATGATAAATAACCATCGTAAATACAGTTGCTTGTATGTTGTTCCAATGAAACGATTGGGTTGGGTTTTGCACAACGAACACGTAGTTCTCCACGAATTTACAACACACTATAAATGGGCCATCTTCCAAGTTACGTTTGAGATCTTTGAAATACTGTGACTGTTTTTTTGATAAATGATCATGGATTTTCAACTTTATTAACTTTTCACAGAGTAAAGCAGTGAATTTGTGAGCATTTAGCGTCTGTGATGCTATATTACATCGATCAGTTTGGAACCAGTTCTAGAATTTTACTTTACAAATATCGTTGTCATTAAATACTTGAATTAAATGATTTTTTAATTGAGCTGTATTTGGGCAATCAAGACAGTCTCCCGTGTAGCATTCATCTGACAGATTATCGCATACTAGGGCTGCAATGCAATCATTGTAGTTGTTTAATTATAGTTTGCTAAGGTTCGTTCATTCGGATAGGTCAGCCCCTTCCGACATCAATTTAACATTTTCATGGTGTACGCAAACACAAACCGTATACGTTCCACTGCTTCTAGCTAGAATGCAGTGGACGGGTTGAAGCAAAGTAAATTTAGTAAAACCGA